CACTAAACACAGGCTATCTTTGACCCCAGAATATGGATTTTCAAGCAAATAAGGTAATACTCAGATGAGCGCCTTTCAAGTTTTCCACAATGAACAACTCTGGTCCATGAAGTCAAATGCTGCCAAATTCTTGGTTACAACTAGTCATTGTAGTCTCCTACAGGAATTATATTCCACAGCTTGGACTGATACCTTAGTCATCATCCTGCTACCTTGATATAATAGATTTAGGCTGTTTGGTAAACTCAGGAACTTTTCCTCCTTTAGAGAAATGAGATGTAGACATAAATCACCCCCCCCACCACACACACACACACACACCACCTACCATTTTGGAAAACCAAGTGAAACATGGGAAATGTACCAGCCTCCTAGCCCCAAGTATGAGCATTAGTATATAAATAAATGTCTGACTAAAGTGGCTTCCAGATCATACAATAGCAATGCAAAGAAAACGTATCACCTGAAATAGAGCTAAAACTCAGATCGGCGGGAAAAAGTAAACCTACACAAAGTTAAAAAGTCTTTAATGAGTTAGGTGAGAAGATATGAAAAGTTGGATTAGCAAGGGGAAATCTAGGTTAGAAACATAAAATTTATTAACAGGTTAGGAGACTGAATTTTAAAACTGTAGCCTGAATTAGGCAGTAATTTAAGTAATATTACTCTTTATTTTGGAGAAAAAAAGTAGAAGCCAGAGTAACAGAATATGTTATCATTTTTCAATACAACAGTATGCTATAAAGTTCACAATTAAATCTTAACTAGGGAAAGAATCTGTAGTGATAAAATATAAGGCAGAAACCAGAACATAAAACATATAGTATAACATGATAATGATAAGAGTTAATATTTATGAGGTGCCAGAGGCATTTTGAGGGTCCATGATAATCCTATGAGGACTATTTATTCCCATTCTGCTGATGAGAAACTGAGGCACAGACAGATTAAGTGACTTGCCCAAGGTCACACAGCCAGTAAGTAGCAGAGCCATTTGAGGATTTAGCCTCAAATAATATGACAATTTTGATTTATATGAAAGGATTAAAGAACCACTGAAGGGCTACTGGTAAAGTATGGCTGACAAAAAAAAATTTGCATTTTATTTTAGGTAGCCATGAAGAATGACTAAGGAAAAAAACTAAAAGCAGAAGATTAGTTAAGAGACTGATGGCCCAAAATAAGGGAACAGCGACAGAATAAAAAGAGGGCAGATACAAAGGTATAAATCAACTTGACTTCACAGTTTGATGGGGAGTGAGGAAGAAGACTCCAAGGCCCAACAGCTTCGCATGTCAGTGATACTATACTACATTAGCACAATCATAAAGCAGACAGGTCTAGTCTTTAGTCATTCTCATTTTAGCAGCAGTCGCATCTAGCAGTAGTAGCCTTTCTCTCTATGGAAGATGTGACGACATACATTAAGATACTGCACTTGGCACCCCATACTAGTTGTTTACAACATACGCAGTAAAGAGAAATACTAAATGTTTTCAATAAACTACACGCAGACCATCACTGAACATAAGTGGACAGAGAATACAACTGGTATGTAGAAGTTAATAGTCAGCAACTTAAGCTTTGAAAAATCTAAATGTCTTCTGAATGGATTAGAATAATTCTATCACTTATTAAGAGGGGTCTGGGCCACCGATCTGTTCTAAGATTCAAGAAAGTAAAATAACTCATCACTTCAAACTAAGCTACTGTGCTTGTTTCTCCTTTTGTTTGCAAATGTACAAAACAAACAAAAAACAAAGAAATAATATCATCCTTACAGCCTAAGTCAAGGATCTGCAAAATACTGCACTGAGGTAATAACCACTAGAAAAACTTACTGTAACTATAACCTTGTTACCACTGTGAAAAAGTAAAACTATGCTAAAGCCAGGGCCTTCCAGTAACTAAATCCTCTTGGAAAGTGTCCAAGAAGTTAGAGTAAATATCCAACTTGTTACATCTAAGATTAAGGAAAACAAGTTATCTAAAGCATTAGATTATGTTTAAATAAACTCTCACTAAAAAGTTTTACATCATAATCACCTGGAGCCCTAAGATGAGGAGGGGTCATCTGGGGGGAAAGCTGTCCCCTGGATTCTAAGTCACATATTTAATACCATTTTGAGAAAAATTTCACGACTAACAGCTTCCATTTTGAAGAAACTAGGTTTTGGCAGAATGTGAAAATAATGAATTATAAGGACAATGAAAACATCTCCCAGCTTCTCTCATGCGGTCAGCGTGTGGTGGTGGCTCCTCTTTGGTTTTCAGCGGGAACCACTGTTTGGTCTCCTGTTATTTGTGGTTCAGATTTCTTTTTTATGGGTTGCATGTCTGATAAATAAATCGCAACTTCATAGGTAAACAGACATAAAAGTGCTTTAAATGTGTGAGCACATGTGTAAATGTACATATGACACTCTAAAAAACAAATGTGATTTCTACTCATAACATGCTTCTTATAAAGTTCCACTAATCTGTAAAGTAAAAAGTAACAGTGAAGAAGGAAAACATCTAACTAAATAGCAGAGTTCCAGAATTATTCTGGAAGCCAAATAATCTACATAGGCATGTTCACAAAACAAACACGCAAATCCAACACATTTTCACCAGACACTTTCATTTACTTATTGGTAAAGGGTCACATTTTTAAAAGTTAACTGGTAGTCCAACTTTCATTTATGAAAAATGACAGCCAGGATAAATTTCTAATTCCCAAAAGCAATAATGCAAGTGTGGACATCTGCATACAAAAATAATAAAAGAACTGCAATGAAAAGAACAGAAAAATCAAATATTATTTTAAAAGAAACACAGAAGCCATCCGAAACATTAAAAGTTGGACTGGACTAACACAAAAGACCCAAAACAATCACATTCGGCATATTCCCAATGCTCACCACATTCCCAATGTCAAACAAGCAATGCCTTTCCAATCAATACCTGTCACAAAAATTAGTTGGCTCTATTTTTCAATGATTAAAGATTTTTTTGCAATAAATTGCTAATACTGAGCTATTATCTTTCTATTGGTGACGCTGAAATCTGTTCATACAGCATGAAAATGAATGCTCACTAAAGACATTCCACATAAAGCTGACCCCTAAAGGCTCCTCGGTGCATATTCGCAACCGCGAATGCTGTTCACAGTATGCGGTACACTAAGCTAGCAACAGATTGGTTAAAAACAGTTTGGATTTTCAACTTCCCATAATAGAGTCAACATTTTTAGAAGCAATCATATTAAAATAAATGTGTCTTTCACAGTTACGGGATGAAATTTTTAAGCTGGACAGGCACCAGTGCCCTGATTTTCTACTTTATTCATAAAACATATGACTTCCACTTGCTAAAGATGTTTTATGCTTTAACCTGCAGCAAGGGCTTTGCATCATTTTAATGCCCAGTGCTTAAAATGCAACAGAATCACCCCTGTGAATGCAAGGAATATTCTTGGTTTACCTGTAATGACTTCAACCAGACTGCTAGTTAGAAAAAGTTTAATGAAAGCTGTTTCCAGTAACTTTGCATTTCCATAGGAGAAAAAAAAACAAAAAGAAAATTTAAGGAGAGGATGTGAAGAGAAAATTCTATTTCCCAACTCTTAACATTTTAGTTTCTTCATTCTAGAATACTCTAACTGAATATATTTCAGCCCCCCTCAAAAAAAAAAAAAAACTATTGCATTGTTAGACAGGATTTTTTTCCCAATTTTTGCAAAGTAATATTTAAGATTAAGAGAAAAGGTTAAAAGAAATAATTCTGGAAATCTTTGCAATGACAAACGAAAGGCTCGGGTTTGTGTTAACATATTTTATATTCTAAAGTGGGGATTTAGAAGACATCAATTTTTTTTTTCCTATTCAGGTCAATCTAAATATATATGCTACCTCAAGCTTATAGTCAGCTTATCTGTGTGAATGACCAAGTGCAGAAAACTCAAATTAAAGGTTATAAAATATATCATGAAATTACATACTCTATATGACTTTCAGTTTTTAGAGGATCTAAGGTTCTTTACTGACAGGTTCAAGAAATGATAAGTTTACATTCAACAGTCAAAAGAGAAATCATCTCAATTCCTTCAGTTGTTTAGAACTCCACAGCATTAAAAAACTTATTTCGGACTGAAGGGCGTACAAAATACAATATATGATCTTAAATTCTCCTGGCGTAATGTTATTAAATATTAAAGACTGTGAGAAACAAGAGATGTTGCAATGCTTTTCCTTTTATAACTCTAATTGAAGCTTGGGGGAAAAAAAATATCAAATTTTCCAAAATTGACTTACAAACAGAATTCAACGAGGTCTAAGAACTTAGTGATGCAATTTTAAAATAAGTTTAAGGCAAAGCATAGCAATCCTAATGTGACAATTACCTGTGGCATAAAGACAAAATAAAGACAAATGCAGGTTTTTCTCATCTAATGATCTCTTTTACACTAAAACCACAAAAATGCATAAGCATATCAGCGCAAACTAAACAAATAGGCACATGAGACAAAACAGCCACCCAGGCCGAGAAATGCAACACGCCAGGGGAGGAAGGAGGAAGGGAAGGCGCAGAGGGGTCTGTACCTGCAGGAGCGCCGAGGCGCGAGCCGATCCCGGCGCACCCCTCCGCCCTGCAGGCTGCAGGAGGGGACTGAGAGCTCCCGGGTAAATAAAAACAGCGATCACTTGGTACCCTTCAACTTTACCTGGCACTCTCTCTCCAAAGCCAGCTGCACCCCCCTTCGCCCAGCCAGGGCTCCCTCTCTCTTCCACACCAGCTTTCAGACAAACGCGAGACAGAACAGGGTGGAGTAGAAGGAAAATACCAGCAGCGTCTCTCCGCGCCTGCCCCCCGGCCCCCAAATAATTCCCAACACTTTCTCCTTCTGCGAAAATAAGTCGTCCCCTCTCAAGACACCGCACAGTGCCCTGGGTCTCCCGTGCACACACCGAGACGCAGACACCAGCCGGCCCCCCGACCCCCACCCCGCGCCCCCGAACCTGAAAGTCCAGTTTCGCCTATTTCACCCCGAGACGTCGCGATACCTCCAGCTCCTGTTTGGGGGTGAGGGTGGGCGGAGGGCTCCTTTCCGAGCGGCCCCGCCGGTGTCGCCGAAACACAGCTCGGGGATAAATGTTAACACTTTCCCTCGCCGCCTCCCCGCGGCCCCGGGATGCGCAGAGCGCGCCGCGCGCCTCCCCCGGCGCTGCCGCCGGGCCGGGGCGGGGACCGCGGGGGGCGGGCCGCGCCGGCGACGGGACGCGGCCGGGGTGCCGCCCCCGCCGCCCAGGCCCGGGGGCGCCGCGACTCCGGCGCCCCAACTTGCCGCCCGGCCCCGCGCGCCCGGCGCCCGGCACGCACTTCCCAACAGTTCCCGGCCCGCCGCCCGCGCCCCGCGCCCCGCGCGGCTCCCAACTCCGGGCGCGAGACCCCACCTCCAGGATTCAAACCTTCCGCCCGAGTGGAGGGAACGGGGAGCCGGGCAGCCGGGGCGCGGGCGACGCCTCCCGCGCCCGCCCCCCGCCCCCGGCCCCACCCCGCGGCCGGTCACCCCGCGGCCGCCCCCCGCGCCCTCCCCCACCCGCGGGCGCCCGCGAGCCCCGGCCCCGCGCGCTCGCTCGCCCCCCCGGCCCCCAGCCCTCCACAAGAAAAAAAAAGTGAAGAGAAAGAAGTGGCGGGGCAGCCCGGGGGGCCCGGCCGCCGCGCCGCGCGACTCACCTCGGTCCCCGCGACTTCTCCCCGCGCGGCGGCCCCCTCCCCAGCGTCCCGGCGCGGCCGGCCGAGGGAGGGCAGGGGAAGCGGGGGGAGGGGTGTCTTCCGCGCGGGGCGCCCGTCGGGGGGGACTGGGGAGGGGTGGAGGCCCGCGCAGGAAGCGGAGAGGGGGGAGGGGAGGCCCCTATCTCCCAGTCTCCCCCTGAAAACCTCCCTTGTCTCAATCACATCAGACTGACTGTCTTTGTCTGGCTGACAACCGCCATATTGATATCAACAGCCCCGCTCCCACCTGCTGCCGCCGCGCGGCCCTGGGAGTTGTAGTTCCTGCCTCCCGGGAGTAAACGCGCCGGCTCGGGTCCGGAGGCCCCAGGGAACTACAGCTCCCGACAAGGCCCGCGCCCATCCGCCCTCCCACGGGGAGGAGGGAACAGGGGCGCACGAGCCGGGGGGACTACACATCCCAGAGTGCCACGGGCCCCCGGCCCAGCTGCGGGGACGTGAGCTCATGCTGGGCGGAGAGGGAGGAAGAATTGGCGGCGGGGATGAATTTGAGCTGACGGAAGGAGGCGTCCGGCGAGGACCGGGAGGAAAAGGAAAGAGGGACCACAGTTCCCGTGATGCCTGGCGGGGGACTACATTTCCCATGAAGCCCCGGGCAGGGGCGGGGGACCGAGGGACTGCAAGTCCCACCATGCCCTCGGGGGCGGGCGACGCGGCGTGAACCGGAAGGCGCTGCCCGGGGCCTGGCGGGCGAGGGACGGGCTTCCAGCGGCCCGAAGTCCAGCATGAAGCTGGTGAGTGCTCGCGGCTGGGTTCAAAGGCACAAGGGAGGCCGTATCCTTTTGGACGTCGTCGTAACCGCCCTGGGAAGGGCGCCGTCGCGGAGGAGGGGCTGCGCGCAGGGGCCCGGCCAGTGGGGCGCCGAGGCGGGCCGCCTCTGCTCGCGGGGGGCGGCGAAGCCCCCCTCGCGCCCCGCCCTTCCCGGCCGCCCGAGGCCGTGGTCGCCCATTGGCCGAGCCCCGGGGTGGGAGGAGAGGCCGCCTGTCACGTCTCTCCCTCACCTCGAGCTGAGGTGGGCTCGGGTCTGGCTGGTTTCTCGGCGGCCTCGTGGGTGTCTCAAGGGGCCGGTAACGTCTTTCCACGCGTTGCACCTGCTCGGCGTCTCTCCCGTCCGTTGGGGAGGCCTGGGGGTGAGCAACGAGTAGGGCATCCTGGGCAGAGCGTACTTCAGAAACGTGCTGTTAATGGACTCCTGACTGGCTGCCCTTGGAATCCAAGGGAGGACGAGGTCAGGGGCTGATCCTGGAGGATTTGGAGAGACTGAGCTGCCGTCTTGTCTAGGGCCAAGGGGACCTCATGGGCCAAGGGTAGATGGAGCACACCCGCGTCACCTGGAGAAATCTTTGCCTCCCGAAGCTCAGACGCCTCCCAAATCTTGTTTTGAGCTGTTTTAGTCTCGTTTGCACAAAGATGTAACTAGTTTACATTCCAGCTCTTTGGAGTTAGTCCTATGTAACCAGGAGAGTCGAGTAGAAAGGCAGGTGGGAGGTGTTGTTTCTCAACCTTTTCAAATCCATATTCCTGCATCCAAGAATGGTCAAGTTTTACTGTCTGTAATTTTTAATGCAACAAAAGGTTTGTTTTTTTTCTATCCATTTAATTTTTTGACCATGCTTTTCTAAAGCATGAACATCCCCCATCCCCTCCTTTGGTAAATACCTTGCTACAGGCAGATGTATATATTCTCTGCAAAGGCTGCCCTGTTGTCTGAGAAAAAAAGTTAGGGAAAGTATTAAAATTAGGTGCACTTTTAAAACTGTCTCCATTTAAAGGAAGGGCATGGGTCATCAAACTCTGAGAATAGCAATTTGCTTCTGGGTCAGTATGCTATAGGGTTAAGAATGCAGAATAAAAAGTCACAACCCTTGCCTTGAAGAAACTGCAATCTAATGAAGAAGATAGAAAAGTAAGCCAAAATTTTAACTCATTGCAATAATGGTAAAATAGAGGCCTGTCCATGATTTGGGGAATAAAAAAGGGTGGGGACGTCCGGTTTTTCATAGCATCTCCTTAAGGGTGACCTAGAGCCAGAGTCTGCATATATCTTGGTGTGCTCCTAATCCTCCTGCATAATTTGAGATGTGAAGGGAAAAAAAGAAGAATCATATTTTTCCTTTAAGAGCCAAAAGATGCTGGATGAACAGGAAGTGTTCTCTCCATATGTCCTCCCTCGTAACTTTCATTCCATATCTCTCATCATAAAACCCAACTGGTGGTTAGTAGATAGGAATTCTGTTACAGATCGTCTATCAGTATTGCAAAAGCATTGACATAGAAAGACTTCTGTGGTGTGTCATTTCTCCCTGGACTTGGAATAAATCCTCCCATGGCTTAAACTTTTAACTTTGTATACTGCTTCAGGAATTTGTAGTAAACATTTACTACAAATCATAAAACAGATACATTTAATTGAAGACACAAGTCTGTTTTTCTCCTCAGTCCCCCAGATAGGTGCACTCTTAACCTTCTCAATCCCTCTGTTTTCTGCTCTGCATGGGAGGAGCTATTTCAATTTGCAGAGTTCCATAAAAATCCCTCAGTAGCTTCCTTTCTCCTTAGGTTAAAGTCCTACCATTCATACCTAGTCCTGATTAACTTAGTGCCCGCCAGCCTTTCTAGACTCCAGTCCTGCCCTGTTCTCCCTTGCTCTCCTTGATGCAGTTCTGTTACACATCTTCGCAGTTCCTTGAAATCACCCTCCTCTCTTTTGCCTCTGGGACTTTTATTATTTTCTATTGCCCACAACACTTCTTTGCGTGACTAATTTCTTTGTGTATTTCAGATCTCTTAAATAGCACTTTTTCAAGATTTCCTCGAATTAGGTACCTGTGGTGCTCCCATGGCACGTGTCTTTTTTATATATATGATCCTTGTTATAGTTGTGTTATGTCCATCCTCCCTCAGGTAGCCTCTATTCCCAGGGTCTCCAAGACACATAGTGTGACACCACTACATAGTTGAGTAAATACTCTCTGGAGAATTTTCTCCTTCTGTCACTGTCGTTGAGAACAGATTGTGGGGTCAAATGAAAGCATTCAAAGCAATAACCAGCAGTGTAAGAAAAGTTAATTGCTACCTTTTATGGAACAACTACTATACGACAGGCACTGTGCTAGGCACTTGCTATTCAGTATCTCATTTAATACCTCTGGACAATAGTATTTCCTTTCATTAAATCTCGACCTCCGGGAGCGGAATGAAGCAAATGGCTCAAGTTACATGGTAGAACCAATATCTGAATCTACTTCTCTTTATCGTCTATTGTACAGTGCCTGGTTATCTTTCTGAGGAAGATGGAGTGTGTATTAAAAGAAAGTTTACTCAAAGCCAATCTTTATTCTTTTGTTGCAGCAACATTGCATTAGAACAGGATTTAAATTGCAGGTGTGCATCATTAAAAGTCAGGTGGCTATAAGGCTGCTTCTTTTTAATGAGCTAAATGCAAGCATGGTTAAATCAAGATGTGAAAAAGATTAAAGTTTGGAAACTTCTTAGATGATCAATGGGACTACCCACCAGAGCGGGCCTCTTGAGTGCCCAAGTTTGTTTTTGCGCTCTGTCCAGTTTAGCCTCTGATACCATAGTGCCTCCTCTTCCTGGCCCACTTCCCTCTTTGTGGCTTTTCACACACCCAGGGAGAGACAGTGGATGTCATTCTAATGTAATCTTGCCTATCTCCTTAGATACCATCTCAAAGGATTTTAGTGACTGCCTATAATACGGTATTCAGGCATAGAAATGAATTGGCCCCTTCAGTTAACCAGGATGATTTTTAAAGGGAAAAAAATTAGAAATCTATCACCAAATGAGCATGTTTTAGCGTATGTTCTGTTATCAACCTGGGTCCACCCAGATAGCCAATTCAGCTAAGGATAGAAACTAGAATTCACTGGGGTCCTTAAAAAACACATCAAAAATAACAAAAAAAAAAAAAACCAGCACAGGCATCTAGTCATTCAAATAGATGAAGATTAACGTGATTACAGTAGGAAGAAGCTGTTCAAGAATGCAACCTGTGTCATATTTTCTAGAGAGAGTTCCAGAGAGAATCTAGTTTATTCAGTCAACAAAGGTTTATTATGCAAGCTCAGTATATTCCCTGAGCCTTCAAAGTTTTCCTACTTTCCATTTTAACGCTTACGTTTGACCCCAAAGATTGATGACAAGGAATTATTTGTAATTTTGCTGATGCACAGATTTGAATGTGACTTTAAGATTAATGATAATCTTTAGTGAATGAGTCTGATTGCCTCAGAATTCATGGCGCTCTGCTCTCTTGTTAAAGGTCTGCAAGAAAGGTCATGTAAATGCTTGTTGGTTATACTTTTTGAATTTGATGGAGGCAATTATATGCTTTAGTTGTATTTACAAATATTAAAACTCAAGAAGGCTGGGAGATGTGTTCTTCAGCGGTGGGTGCTGCTCTGTGCAAAATGCTGTTTCATTACGCCTGGCTTTCCCGGGGAAGGCTCAAACTTTTAACTCACTATTTCTCCTGGGAAAACAGATGGAGCAAAGAAATGGATCCGTGGACTGCTCCCAGTGGGGAAGTGAAACACCGCAATTGTAGATTATATAGAAGATTTCTGCTTGAAAGGGGCAAATCCTGCCCCAAGGTCAGTTTAACAAATCATTAGAAATGGGTGTGGTTAATCCTCACCTTGGGTCTGAGCCTGGTGGATTCTTTCTCCAAGTGACAGAATTGCAGCATCCTTTTAGCTTCTGAGAATTTGGATCAAGAACAGAACGTTCATACTCCAAATTGCACACATTCACAGTTTTACCGACGCTTTATTCACCCTCGCAGTACAATTGTTAAAATGTCCCCCTGGTTGCGCTCTCTTGACCGGGGTTCGCCGTGCTGGTTGGTTAGAGTGCCCTCATGTGTCTTTATGATGTAATATCACTTCAGGCTTTGAAAGGTCATGTTTTAGCACCACCTCCCAAGATAGGTTTTTTCCCTCTTTCAAATCGTTTTCTCAAACTCGAAAAGCAAGGTGTGATGGGAGACCAGGTTACTTACTTTGTAACCTGCTCTGTGATAAAAATGGACATTTGACTCCTGTGTTCCAAAGCCCTAAATTGTTCCTCTGAAGATTACATCTTTTCTACTTAGCTCAGCAAAAGATTATAGGGATAAACTGTTGTTTTCAGTAATAGTAGTTGAATTGAGAAAATAATCTGACTCCTCTCTGGTTGACCAGCCCAACCAGAATGACATCCCACTTACAGACCAGCGTGGCCGGGGCCTGTCCCTGCAGTGGCGCCTTTGCTTTGCGACTGGCTTGCTCCATGCACTCGTGTCCCTCTCCTGTTTGCTCCGGTGTCACGGCGTGCCTGCAGGTCACAGGTGAGGGCACTGGGTGCAGCGTGGCCACTGACTTCAGCAAAACCTAGCATTCCAAATGGAAACGTTGCCCCCGGCTTGCTAAATGCCAGCACAGAGTTCCAGGCATAAACCACCTCAAGTCGCCATCATTTATTCATTCAGCGGATCTTCCCGAACTCCTCCTCAGGGCTAGGCCTTCCTGGAGGTACTTGACATGTTGCAGTGAACAAAACAAGTTTGCCGCCTGCCGGTATGGAATGCGGCGCCTGGTCAGCCTACTGTGAAATCCAGACAGCACTACGGTGAACTTCCTCGTGTGGACATCAGTGGGCCCTGGCGCAGTTACTTTTATTCATGTAATGGCCAAAACGTATTTCACTAAATCTAAAGACTGTGCTTTCTTGGAGTTTTTTTTTTTTTTTTAAAGATTTATTTATTTTTATTTATTTATACAAGCACTGGGTACAGTCAGAAGCGCGGGAGGGTGAGAGAATCCACCAGAGCCAGAGCGGGGAGCAGAGCAGGCAGAGGGACCAAAGCACACTGCTGAGGGGAGCAGCGGGCGGCAGGAGAGGTCTGCACGCCATGTGGGACCCTCGCTGGCAGCCGGGGATCGAACCGACACTGCAGAGGCTGCGGCAGCTTTGCAGCCCAGCGCTCAACCGCTGCGCCACCGGGGAGGCCCGCTTTCTTGGAGTTTTACCATACAGGGCCAGCTTGCCCACTTGTTGACCATCATGCGGTAGAGTATGAGAATACCTTTCCCCCCTCGCCAACAATGCCATCTGTCCCTTTCCTCTGACCAGCAGAACTTTCTTCTTTCTTCTATCCTCACACCATCTCCATGTACTTTGAACTTTAGCCACATTTAGTAGAGTATCTGAACAGTAGTGAAGTATGGATGTGGAAAATGTCAGAAAGGAGCAAATGTCTTCAGATTTAAAAAAAAAAAAGAGGGGGTGTCATAAGGATCTTTAAAAGGAATTTTTTTAATTGATGGTTACAGCGAAAATGCTGCTGCCCACGTCATATTTGAGATGTGTTCTCACAGGGCCAATCAGATTGGAGAGGCAGCTGAGCCCAGGGTGTGTAAATGGCAGAGGGAACCCCCATACCCCATCAGAAGAGGTGCCCAGGGCCTCCCTGGTGGTGCAGGGGTTAAAGTCTCAGTGCTCTCAGGCTGTCAACACTATGGCCTAAGTTTGATCCCGGCCAGGGAGCTACCCACATGGCGCACCAGACCTCTCCTCTCCTGGCTGCACCCCTTGGCAGTGGATTTCAGTGGATCCACCTGCTCTGCTCCCCACTCTCATGAATCCTCACACCCCCGCCCCTCTGGTTTACACCCCAGTTCTTCTATGCATAAATAAATCTTTTAAAAAAGGGGGGGGGGTTGGCCAGTGAGAAGAAGCTAGTTGTTGACATCTGCGGAAGGGCTAAGACAGGAGTGGATGCCAGAATATGCAGAGCTGGTGAGAAAAAGCAGGGGTGGAAACAGATCCGCCAAAGGGGAACAGGAAAGTATAGGGAGGAAGGAGCGCATGTCAACACTCTGAGGCCTCTGGGTCCAGACCAAGAGCTGAGTGGCGGGAACTTCAGTGTGAGAAGACCAGGAAGCCTGAACTGTCCCTGATTGACCATAGATCTGCAGGAAATGCCTTAAAGGTCTAAACACATAAATTTATTGAAAGTATGAGACCAATGAACTTTCACTCTCTCAAGGACAGATAAGCAGATAGAGGATGTTCAAGAAAGCAGTTCTTTCATAGGACTTGCAAAACTAACCCCCTTTTGGCCCTTAAGATAGTTTATTTTTCATCACTCGTGTTTCTGAAGGGGTGGGAGAGGTGAGTAATACAATATCTTACATAATCTATTTCTCAGAGTTGTGGCCTGAGTGGAGCATCTTTTCCTAAATACAGTATTTCTACATTTTTCTATTCCAACAAAATACAAGAAGGCATAATTAGATGTTCTCATTTATTATCTCCCTTCCCTTTCTTCCCCAGCATTTGGGAACATGGGCAAACAAGCAGTAGTATTAAAAATATGAAGGATATTATTGTAATTATTACTTTTTAAAAACTTGTACTGAGGCATAAATTTGCATACCATGCATATAAATCCATGCGCTTAAAGGATATAATGCAATGACTTTTAGGAAATGTATAGAGAGATGCAGCAGCCTCCGCTACCCGGAGGCTGATATGTCTGTCACTCCAGAAACATCCCTCTGCTCATTCGCAGCCAGTCCCCAACACCACCCCCAGGCCCAGACAACCACCAAACTGCTTTCTGTCTATTGATTTGTCACCCTTTCTGGCCATTTCATGTAAATTGCCTCATTCAGTGTTGGTCTCCGTATCTGACTTCCTCCCCTTGGCAGACTGACTTTGAGGCCCGCCCACGTTGTAGCCTGTAGTGCTCAGTAATATTTCACTTGCGAATATACATTTTGCTTATCCAGGTACTGGTTGATGGACCTTTGCGTTGTTTCCAGTTTTTGACGCTTATGATTGATCGTGTGGACTTAATTTTTTATTTTAAATTTCTCCATGTTTTCATTTATTTTTTCTTGTATAAGTGCACAGACCAGAATCTCAATACAATATTGAGTAGAAGTGGCGCAGGCAGAGATCCTAGCCCATCCTTTCCCCCTTCCTCACCTCAGAGGGGAAGCCTCTGTTTTTCACTACTAAGATGTGAGCTGTAGGTTTTTCTTAAATGCCGTCTATGAAGTTATTATCTGTAGGTTGTCGAACGTCTTCATCGTGAATGGCTTATGAATTTTATCTCATGATTTACCTTTGGGTATTGTGATGACCGTATGGCTTCATCGTTAATTATATAAATATGGTACCTAGTTTTAATGGAACTTTGAATATTAAAACAACCTTGCACTTTAGGGATAATTCCCACTTAGACATGATGTAAATCTTTTGTATATATTCCTAGGTTTGGTTTGCTATTTTGTTAGACTTTGCATAAGTATTCATGAAAGAAATTGGTCTTTTTTGTGATTTATCTTCGTCTCCCTTTGGTACTGGCGTATTGTTGCTCTTATACAATGAGTTGGGAAACGTCCCCTCATCTTACTGGGACAGTGTGAAGAATTGGTACTACTTCTTTAAATATTTGATAGCATTCACTGTGAAACCATGCGGGCTTGGGTTTTCTTTGTGGAAGACTTTCAGTTGACATATTCTCTTTCTTTTCTTGATATAGGTTGCTTCAGGTTTCTTAATTGTACATTTTTTATTTGTAGTAAGATAATCACAATATAAAATTTACTATTTTTACCATTTTTTAAGTGTGCAGTTGAGTGGCATTAAGTACCTTCAAGTGGTTGGGCAACTCTCCCGCCCATGCATCTCCAGATGTAAGTTGGCCGTATTCGGGGTTCATCCATGTTGTAGCTTCTCAGATGTCTTGACTTTTTTTAAAGCTGAGTAATTTTCCATGGGATGGACCAGTTTTGTTTATCCACTCTTTGGTCAGTGGACACTTGCGTTGTTCTGCGTTTTGGTTCTTATGAATAATGCTGCTGGGAACGTGGTCTACAGTCTGTTTGAGTTCTTGCTTCTGATTCTTTTGGGTACATACCCAGACATGAAATTACTGAATCATGTGGTAATTCTAAGTTGAACTTTTTGTTTGTTTTTTTTGTTTGTTTGTTTTTTTAAAGATGTATTTATTTATTTATACAAGCACTTGGTACAGTCAGAAGTGCGGGAGGGTGAGAGAATTCACCAGAGCCAGAGGGGAGAGCAGAGCAGGCAGACTGACAAAGTACACTGCTGAGGGGAGCAGCGGGCAGCAGGAGAGGTCTGCATGCCATGTGGGACCCTTGCCTGGTGGCCGGGGATTGAACAGGCGCTGCAGAGGCTGTGGGCAGCTTTGCAGCCCAGCACTCAACCACTGTGCCACCGGGGAGGCCCTAAGTTGAACTTTTTGAAGAGCCAGTATGCTGTTTTCCAGAGCACCTGTCGCCACACCATTTGCTTCGCCAGCAGCAACAAGGGTTCTGATTTTTCCACATCTTCACCATTGGCCAAGTTGTCATTTTCTGTTTGTTTGTGTTGACAATACCCAAAGTGGCATCTCACTGTGGCTTTGATTTTCATTTCCCTAAATATCGGTGATACTGAGCATCATTTTGTATATTTTTGGATGGGTAATGCATATACATTGTTTAATTTTTTAAAAATCAAACTGTACAACAGGTTGAAAAAGAAAATGATGAAAGAACCCCTCCGAACCTTATCCTTCTCAGAGCTGTCACAATTA